GAGAGAGAGAGAGAGAGAGAGAGAGAGAGAGAGTCTGACTTTAACTTTGGATATTCCATATTCGCCAGAACTTAAAAGACCAGTCTATATCACTTAAGCAAGGATGAGTGAACTTGAGCCCTAAAATTTTACCTCGAAGGTGTCTTTTCCAACTGCATCATAAACCACATGGACTCCTTCACCATTAGTTATCTTCTTCACTGCAGAAACAAAGTCTTCCTTTGTGTAGATTATGGGGTAATGGCATCCATCTTCAGAGGCTTGGGCCGCCTTCTCTTCGCTCGATACAGTCCCAATAACAGTGGCACCAAGAGCATTGGCATACTGACACAATAGAGATCCAACCCCCCCAGCTGCTGCGTGGACAAGAACCGTGTGTCCCTTTTCTACCTGTGATTCCGTGTTTACAGACATAAACATGAGAGAGAGAGAGAGAGAGAGAATTCCTCCCACATCTACTAGAAACTGCAATTAAGTGCATCATTGTTGACTGCTTATAGGTCTATAAATTCTCAGTACTCAATTAATACAATGGAAATTTATTAAAAATGCTATTTAACTATCAAAATTTTAAAATACCCCTGCATATTTTATGTATATGCCCAAGTCTTGAGAGCATGCAGTGTATTTTAATTTTATGTTCTTGTCTATACATCAAATTAAGTTCAAATTTAGGGAATGGATTCTTCAAACCATCACATTGGTAAAAAAATATAAAAAAATATTTAAAAAATAAAATAACTGACATACCCCTAAAACTTTGAAATTCGTAAGGGTATGTTGATATTTTTTATTTAATTTAATCATATTTTAGAATATTTTTCGCAAATGCATTGTGGTGATAAATATGGATGACCAAATTTGATCTTAATCAGATATATAGAAAAAAAAAGAATAAATTGAAATACAATATTCACCCTAAAAAAGTGTGACTCAAGCATATACGCCATATATGGGATTATCTTTAAATTTCAAGAATAAAAGGGGGTTTTTCTCTAAATACAATTCCTATCTGACACAGGGTTACAATCCTTCAGTAATCACTGGGGGCAAATGAGCCATATGATCTATATTATGTTAATATAAGTGCCCTCTATAGAATTATAGACCAGCCGACACCAAATAGGTGGGACAAGGCTAGGATGATGATCATAATATAGAATTATAGACCATTTCATAGTATCTTATCTATGAAATACAAAACACAGGTTACACACAAGTTACTGTCATTACATGAGAGACACATAGCATTCATCATGATTGCTATATGATAGATATGGAACAAACTTTGCACTTGGCACCCTGCCTGATAAGAGCATTGACGATTGTAGCACAATATCCCACGATGGAATCCCACAAAATGATAAACATACATGCATGTGAAAGTGCACATGAACACAAGCACACACATGCGTGCCCTAATGTTTGCAACTTCACAACCCCTATGGTGCAAAACTTTTGAGTAATCCAAGGAAATCTGACGGTAAATTTACAGAGAAACAGGAAAGCATTTAGAGTGTATTATGGGATGCTCCATATTTCCCCAAATCTACACAGAGGTCCCACTTTGTCACCTTTTTTCTATTTTTTTCAATTTTGCACCTGGTCCGATGTTTGCAACATCGAATCAAACTTTTAATCTTATTTTTTCTATGTTTTTTAATTATGTGACTGTCCAATAACTTGGGGGTCAATTTGAGGTTGGTCGATGTTTCAAACATCGGACTGCCTAGACTTTTTGCTCTCTTCCCCCGTTTTGGGTCGGTCCAATGTTTCAAACATCGGACTGGAATATTGTTCTTATTATTCCTTTGGTACTCTTGCCTGTTTTTTTCTTTTTTTTTAAGTAGCTAGTCAGATATTTCAAACATTAGACCAGCTTTTTCCTACCTTTTTTGAGAGAGAGTTCATCTCAAGGCTTGAGAGGGAGTTTTAATGCTGAGAGAGAGAGAGAGAGAGAGAGAGAGAGAGAGAGAGAGATACTAAACTTTGGACTAAGAAAGTGGGAGGAACCCAAATAAAAGACAAGGACAAGAAGAAGATGTGGGTCACGTCATCATGCATGATGTGGGCATCCTTGCTGCCTGCCACACTCATCAATCCATCCATGGCCATGCACATAAACCGCCCTCATAAAAAACTATTGCATGTAAACCCAAGGAAACTGCCAGTCCAATTTTTGAAGCATCGGACTGACTTCTTTAACTAAGAAAAAAAAAAGGCAGTCCAATGTTTCAAACATCAGATTGCTACTAAAAGGAATAAAAAGAACAATGTTGTGGTCCAACGTTTGAAACATTGAACTGACTCAAAACAAGGGAAGAGGTGTACAATGGGGTTGTCCGATGCTTGGGTCATTGAATAGCCCAACTTTAAGGCAGTCTAATGTTTGATACATCGAATCGACCCCAAATTCATTCCCAGGCTATGGGATAGGCGTACAATTCAAAAAAATAAAAAAAATAACATAAAAAATCAGTCCAACATATACAACATCGACCTGGGGCAAAACTGAAAAAAAAATAAAAATAGCGACAAAGTAGGACTTCCACATACATTTGGGTAAAATATGGAGCATCCCATAATACTACGAACGTTTCCCAGTTCTCCATAAATTTCCCAAATTTGAAAGACAAATTATAAGCATATATAAATGGGAAAGTACATGAGCAGTCCATCATCCAATCTTGTTGATGAGAGTTGGAGATCAGCCATAGCAAGGCAAAAATCCATGTGGGCCCACTCCAATTAATCTCCAACTATTTATCACAAGGAACAGATTTAGATATAGCCTTGGAGTACCATGTAACATAGCCCATTGGATTATAGTACATCTTCCCCATCTAAAGCATCCGTATTGGAATACATGCTGTGATTTAAGATTCAGGCTGCGGATTTTTTGGTTAAGGTGTTGAAGATTGCAACATTACATCCCAAGTTCGAATCCTACAATGATCCATATGGTCATGGTCAGTCGAAGGGTCATCACCATCCCATCAATAGTTTGGATGCTGACTGAGGGAGACTTGGTACCACCAAACATGTCAATAATCCAATTATACAGCTCGATCTCCCTCATGAATATACTATTATTATAAGAAGAAAGTTTATATAAGGTCGCAACTTATACTATAGAAGTAAGGTGCGGCTCAAAATCCCAGAAAAAAGTGTGTTCTGAAGTTGAAAAACCTTCCAATTAATCATCTCGAAAGAAAAAAAAGAATGTCTAGTCCTAAAAATAGTGCACCTTGTGACAAGTTACCTAAACTGCCTATTTTCAAGATTTTCAAGTGTTTATAGATTTGCTCAATCTGTAGCGTTTTTAGAATTTTAAATTCATAATTAGGATTGAACATGGATTTTCAAGCTATCGTAAAGTTTCCGCAATGGAACTACATCTTCTGGCAAAATTCAGAGGGGTGCCTTAGTTGTATAGTATAAGCATACAGACCTCACCCTTATTATAATCATACATATCATAATAAACTTTCCCAGAGTGATATAGATGTTGAAACTAACCTTAAAGCAACGCTGAACAAGGACCTGAGCGGTCATACCCTTGGTCGTAACAGCAGCTGCAACCATAGGATCAATAGAAGGTGGAATGGGCACCACAATACTTGCAGGAAGGACTTGTTCTTCAGCATAGGCACCCCTTGGACAACTACAGGCAACCGAGTCCCCTACTTGCCAATCTGTTAATCCAGGACCCACAGCTGTTACCACTCCAGCTGCCTCTACACCTGCCAACAAAAACCATGAGATACTATCACGCGTTTTGGTTGAGAGAGAGAGAAAGAGAGAGAGAGTGCATTTCAGAAAACTGAATGCATCATATTTTTATGGGAAACACTACGATACCTTCAACATAGGATACGATATATATCGGTTATGAAACAATACTCCTATGTGGTGGAGTTTTTTAGAACTGATGAAAAGTTTTAGACGCAACAAAACATTAACTTGCTACAAACAATTTTGACAAGACATGTTCTATGTCAATAGTAAGAGGTAGAAGGCAATAGTCTATGGTAGTTGTTGCAAGCATTTAATGTCCCAGTGGGTATGCCACAACCAGGTGGGTAATGCGACACCCTCGAATTGTTACCAGGATGACAATATGCCATCTAGAGGCACTGCACCAATCCGTGTGTATGTGTGTCCTTGTGTGTCAGGGAGAATTTTGTGAACTATAAATATATCGGAAGCAGTTTTAAGTGGTAATTGATCAGTGTAATAAAGTTGTTAGCATAACCATGTTTACCAAAACAATAGTATTGCATGCTACCCAAAACCAAATAAACAAACAAATTACACCTCTTGCATACTGTTGAATTTATCATAACTTGCTAGACAACCGAGAAAGCCACAACACATGCTATTATTCATTTTTACAAGGATGTACTTTGTGATAAAGTACATTGATTGAGCAGATCCATGTGAGCAAAATAAACTTTAAACTTGGGCAGCATAAGAAGATTTGACCGAGAATCAGCAGTATTAAGGGGGGGGGGAAATAAAAAAAACCTAAAAAGTCAGCAAACAGTTCTACAATATACAAAATGATTGACATTATCAATCCGAATGAAAAATTAGTTTGCCCTTTTTCTTAAGGGTTACTCTAACAACAGAACTACAGAAGTACCTGGAACAAAAGGCAAGTCTGTCTTGTAAATTCCTTTGCGGTAATAGGTGTCAATGAAGTTCAAACCAATAGCTTTGTTTTTAACACGAATCTCGCCTTCCTTAGGCTCCCCTATTTCCACATCTTCCCATTTAAGGACCTGCGATCATATGACCAAACTTAACTTTGAACTAGTTCTTTCTCAGTAGATTTGGCATTTTAGAGGTAAAATAAAAAATAAGATTGCAAAAATTGATTCAAGGCAGACAGAGAGCAGAAATTGAGGTTGAACTCTAAACAAATAAACTCCTTGTTGGAAACAAGGCTTCTGTCATCAACCAGAGCTTCATTTGGTCAGAAACGAAAAGGTGAAAGAAAACGAAAATATAAATATAACATTAAGTATCATTCATCTAATCCAACATGATATTCTTGCTTGTAGTTGACCAGTCATTTAACTCTATGATGCACACCTGCTTGAAAATGGGTGTCCTAATTCCTACCTACATCCTGTACTTCACAAACATATGTAAAAATCAGAAAAAGGAGATGAGGAATTGTATGGTATCATTCGTTAAAGTAAAATAGCATAACTATACTATAGTGCAGATGGATTTCTTGTTATATCAACAACTTTCTGGAAACAAAGATGCATTCTATAATTCATAATTCCTACCTAAACAAATTAAACCCAGATCAACTGTTCAAATAACCGAATAACAATCTGATGTACTGATGAGGCACACCAATTATCCACATTATGGACAGCTTTGTACCACCATTATGTGTTTAATGACATGTTAAAGAGTTTCTGCTAAAATAACATTGTACTAGCGTTAAAAAGAATCTAAAAAATTGTAAAAAAGCACCCATCAATGTAAAATAGCAAAAGAACAAAAACTTAGTTAGAAGAAGATCAAGAAATAGGAAAAAACAAGGACGACAAGATCAAGAAACCTTGCTGGTAGGAGGGGTTGTTACAACTAAGCAAAAAGAGTGCATTGACATATAAAGAAATTAAGCAAGCTGATATGGTAGTCCCTTGTTCTATATATGACACAACCAAGACATTCAATGCTGTGTCGGCCACTAGATGTTTGAATTACTCTGAGGAAAGTGGGAAACCTAAACAAAGAAGCTCACTACTTCATTGTAATTGAGGCCAAATTGTGGGAAATAAATATCCGCTAAACAAATGAATATTCGGAGTAATTAATAAGTGATCGAGGCACTATGGTGCTCCATCAAGTCAGGATACAGGGATCCAAGTGGACAACGCAGCATTGAAAGGCACTTGGAGCACCATATTGTTCAATCGAGTGTTTGAAGTATCGTGGTTACATGGTGACCTATGGCACCATGTTGCTCTACGGTGCTTGAGGAATTTTAACAATAAAGTCTTGAACAGTTAAACAAATGATGTTCTTGACATTTGTTAAGCATACGAGGGATTAAGCTTAATATCTGGGAAAAGCAAGATAAAATGATGTTCTTGACATTTATTAAGCATGCGATGGATTTGCAGGGTGTTTCTCTAACGACTACACTGGCCAGTGTTAAAGTCTTCAAAAACAAAGCGGAGAGAGAGAGAGAGAGAGAGGGGGGGGTGGAGGTGTTGAAATAAATAATATAAAAAGGCAATCTGAAAGTTTTTCAAGAGAAACTAAGATCCAAGCGACTAGAGAAACTAGAAAAAATACACTTTATTGAATAAGCAAAGGTAAAGCAATTAAGGATAAAAAGAATATTAAAAAGAGCCAAAATTACCATGGAAACAATCACTACCTATATAAATAGGATTACTGAATATAAAATGGAAAAAAAAAAGGGGGCCATAAACACTAGAATAATCAATTCGTAGAAAGAAAAAAAACAAAACCCAAAAAAGTAAATTCAGCAAATAATTGTAAAACGAGTCAAATAAACGAAAATTCACGTAGAGAGAAGAAAACCCATTTTCCAATAGCAATGAAAACTACAGTAAACCATCAACCTGAAACACAGAAGATCAGTCTAAAATACTGCCAAAACAGATCAGTCTAAAGACTATAAACTACTTCCAATCAAACAATATGAAAACATGTAAAGAAGCTACAAGAGAACCAACAATTCCTCAGAGAGAAGCATAAATTGGTGCCGAGAAAAGTATTTGCAGATTGAATAACACAAATAAAACAGTACAAGTTAAAGAAAAAATGCTTGCCTCTGGCCCTCCAGTCTCATAGATTCTAATAGCTTTAACCATGGTGGCAAATGCTTTCAGAAGCTTCAGTGAAAGATGGACACTTTTGGTCTAGAGAAACAAATCAGGCTTAGACCTAAGCTACCAAGTTTGCTGTAAGGAACTGTGATCACCTTGTATAAATGACGTGTATACAACCCCGTTTTATAAAAAATTTTATTTTTTTGAAATCTTTGAAGATTTTTTTTTATAAGAGAGCATTTACCTAATGTACAATGAAGTCACAATTATTGATAACGATGTTAAATTTGATTGTTTGGATGTGTTATAAAGCTTGATCAATGGAATAGATGCAGCCCCCAATTTTACATTCATCACGATTAATACGTTCTAACCTCTTCGTATAATATTCTCTTCGTATAATATTCTTTTTTTAAAATTACTTAAGAATTTTGAGTTTTTCAAAATATCTTAAAAAATCACTTTTTAATAGAATCTATGTAATATCTTTGGTAAAAAACACATTTTTTAAAAATTATTCCCTGTAACTTTACTTTTTTATTAAATTAATTATTGAATTTTGATTCAAAGATACGTATATTAATAGTGGGAGCAAATTAAGAATATTGATTTAACAAAAAATTTTATAAAAAAATTCATCATCGAGTTCTTTTAAAAAAGTGCACGAAAAAATAAAGATAATTTAACTTTCTAAAAAAAGTAATCAAAACAATCGTGTATCTTAAAATAATACATGGAATTAGAAGAAGAGTAACCCAATGAAAAATTGTTTTTTGTTTTTCTTATTTAAATCCGTAACGTCTTTATCAAGAGCAAGCAAGAGATTTAATGATACTAAAGATTTATATAGCTAAGAATTCAGTGCGAGATTCAAATTCGCTTAAGCATTTTATTGCTTTTTTTATGCATAGAGAAATTGATTAATTTCATTTTTTTTCATTGGTGTATAGAACATAGTTATGTGGATAGAAGATAACTATTTTATATATTTGGGTTTTTATATTTTCTTTTAATTCACTGTGATCTTATGTTGAGCGTTTTTTATTTTTTGAAAAATTATTTTATACATTGGGACCCAGTTCTTGTTATTTGCTAATTAGTTTTGTTGTTGTTGTTTCATTTTATGCTCCCAATAAATCTATAATATGTTTTGTGATGTGACAATAGAGTAAATATTGTTGTTGGATTTATTGAAAGTTTCAATAAAAAATTGTCAAATATTACTCTAATGACACTAATAAAGCTATAAAATTAATGTTTAATGACTTCAATATATCTAATATCATAGAGAATTTCGAGTTGTTCAAAAGATCATCAAAAAACCGTTTTTTCAATGGAACCAATATAAATATGTATTTTATCTTTTTTCGAAAAAACTTTTCAAAAAAATTCTTCCCTACAACTTTATTTCTTCATTGACTTAATATTATTGAATTTTGGTTTAAAGATAAGTACATTAACATTGGGAGTAAATTAAGAATATTGGTTGAACAAAAAATTCTATAAAAAAATTTCACAATATATTTCCCAAAAAAAAAATCTAAACAATCATATATCTCAAAATATTAGGTAAAATTAAAAGAAGAGTAACCCGATGAAAAATCCTTCTTCATTTTTTTTTTTTCTTTAAACCTATAATGTTCAAGAAGAGAGAGATTCAAGGATACTAAAGATCTAGGTAGCTAGGAATTCAATGCAAGATTTGAATTTGCTTAAACATATTGTTGTTTTTTTTTTATCCGTAGAGAAGTTTGATTAATTTCATACGTTATATTTTGTTTTTTATTTCATTGGAGTGTACATCTTAACATTTTGGATGGACCACTATTTTACATATTTCGTTCTTTATGTTTTCTTTTAATTAACAACGATCCTATTATGGGGGCGTTTTTTGTTTTATTTATTTGAAAAACAATTGTATTCATAGTTCATGTTATTTGCTAATTATTTCTTGTGTTTAGTATTATTATTGTTTCATTTTATACTCCCAATAAAGCTATGATATGTTTTGTATTGTGACAATAAAGTAAACATTGTTGTTAGATTTATGAAAGTTTCAACAAAAAATCGTCAAACATTACATTAATGACACAAGAAAGGCTTTAAAATTATTGTGTAATGGCTTCAGAATATTTATACAATAGCTGCAAATCATAATTTTCTATCGTGTCATTTTTACGTATCTGATTTTTTTCACTATGTTTTTTTGAACCAAATCCGAAATATTCACAATTCGACAACTTATGTTTTTTTTGGCAATCCAGATTTGTGATTCGATTTTCTCTTCCAACTTTTTGAAATAATATCGATTTATTATCGATGTTTCGGCCCATCGATATTTTATTATTATTCCCCGACTTGCTAACTATGATCTATACAATAGTTGCAAATCATAAATTGATATTGTGTCACATTTAGATATCCAATTTTTTCATGATGTTTTTTTTTATTAAATCCAAAATATTCACGATTCTATAATTTATCTTATTTTTTTGGTGATCCATATTTTTGACCCGGTTTTTTTCTCTGACTTTTTAGAATAAAACCGATTTATTACTTATTGCCGATATTTAATTATTCCCCAACTTGCTCACTATACTTGAACCCAACCTAGACTCAACATATACTAAAGAATATATAAACTATTTTTTTATTTTTAAAATTTCTAGACCCTGCGTATCGGTCCAAATGACTTGAACTCCATGGGATTATGAGGCGGGGTCGACTTAGACCAGACCCAACCCTTTACCACCCTAAGAAACATAGAGAAAGTGAGAGATGTTGTGGACAGAAAATTAAGGGAGACATAGGCAGAGAGAAACATAACATAGAGAAAGAGAGAGATGCTGTAAACAGAAAATTAAGGGAGACATAGGCAGAGAGGAACAGATGGGAGATCAGCTCATAGACTTTTAGTCGGGAGTGAGAAATAAATAGCCTCTCTGAGTAAGTATATTGGAGAGATGTGCAGATGAGATAGAAGGTCTCCCTTTCTTACTCATGAATTCCAAGTCATTTGGAACATGACCGGACCGGACCCGTCCGATTCAAAACATACAGCTGGACCCAGACCGACCCCACTACCACCCCTATCTCACTCTCTTTCTCCCTCCCCCTCCCCCCTCAAAGATCATGTCTCTATCTCTCTTCCCATCCCCCTCAAATATCATCTCTCTCTCCCTCTAACATAATCTCTCTCTCCGCTTACACCTCAAAGATCTCGCCCCTCCTCTCTCTCTCAAGGTTACATTCCTTAAATCCTTTCTAAGCATAGGGTTTTTTTATATTTTGCAATACGTATCCACCTTTTAACTTTAGTTTAATAATATACCGTGTGTGTAGGGAGTAACTTTTATATGTCCTAATGACTTATGACATAGCATACAGCCAACAACGTAGATTGAATATGAGTCGAAACTAAATAATTGATTCGATGCGATTTCTTTACCTGAAATTTCTATTTCAAAATCAAAAGATTGAGTATTTCAAAAAACCCAAATGATTTTGTGCTTATGTGGGGGCATATTTAGGACCCAAGAGTATTTTAAGGACCCCAAATGGGGATGCAACCTCTCAAATTACTGCTAGAGAGAGAGAGAGAGAGAAAATATAGGTATTCAAGAACTTGAATTTCAATTTTTTTGTTTTAATAATGTTCTTAGATAGATCCCAAAACTTCATATAAAATAAGAGTAATGATTCTATGAAACCCTCCCACACCCATGTGTGTTTAATCCCAAAGGATCACCATTAAATATGACAAATATCTCTAGAAAAGTCAAGTCCCTCATCCATATGATAACTTTTCTAAAAATCTGTACCATATTTAATGGTGATCCTTTAAGGTCCTACACACATGGGTGAAGGAGGGTCTCATAGGATCATTCCTCATAAAACAATTATCAAGATTAGATGTTTTGTACACGACTTCTTTGAAAAGTTTTTTGAGTTACAAACACCTAGACCCGACTGTTCAAAATTTGGATGCCTATGTTAGCATGTGATTTTTTCTAGGAACCTTAAGAGTGCATTTTGAATTTCTTTTTTAGGTTGGTCGCCAGGTGAAATCCCTAATTTTGGGCCTTGAGGGAGCAAATGAACAATTTGTTCCCACAAAAACATAAAGGATGAGTTTCATTAGGCCTAGGCTTTATGAAAACTAAATAAAGCCTCACCTCAAATCCTTGTTTGAAAAGTACTTTCCGATTGGGTACTTAGAAATATATTGTCTATGAAATATATAACGAGCGTAATACATTTCTAGCATCATATATTATCTGGAAATGAATTTTTGCTGCTTGAGTAGTGTCTAGATGCAAATTGCTACTGTTTGGCTGTCCGGAAAAAATCTGAAAAATGCATTACCCTCATTTTGGCTTGAAAATAAACATAAATTTTACCTATAGTATTGTGTTTGCCTTGTACAGTTCTTAATAGTTCTCCTTTTTTGGGATCAAATATCATTTGAAATTAAAACTACTTTGTATTCAAATATGTGAAGGTCAATATCCACATGAATTTTGATGCGAACATGAGGCCAGAATTTATAAATTATTTCAATACATCTTTAGGTCCTTTAGTTAGGCCTTTTGATTGTAAGTAAGTTCTTAATTTTTCAAAATTAACAAAAACGAGCAGGGACCTCTTCTCCTGCTTGTTTACTCAAAAAAGAAAAACTAAGCAATCCATATTTCATAAACTTTTTTGTATGTGCATAGTCCTGCAAAAGAAATCGTACATGCACAATGGCAGATCTCTTATTCATTACATTCAACTCCATTAAACTCAATTCCTCCCAAGTGGAAGAGATCAGCAAGTAAAGGTCTCCTTGAAACCTGATCTCTCCTTGAATTTCGGAGAGATGAACACTCAAATTGTATAGGAACCTTCTTCCCTGAAGAAGCCTCAACAAGAATCTCCTTATTAAATATGTTTCCAAGTTAACCAATAACACACAAAGGTTTCAAAGGTTCAGAAGATAAGCACAGGTGGACCGTTCTTTTAAAGACGAGTTTCATTGGGGTGGACCTTGTGTGGTTTCTTGGAGGCATACACGCTGAAATAGCAATCTTTTGACTCTCCACCCATAGTAGATATCTTGGAATACTTATTTTTAAAGAAAAATGGACAGTCTAGATAATTTGTTACAATATACATCATTTTTAGAGCTTGAAATCTTAATTTTTTTCACTACCATAATGTTCAAGTCGAGATGATCAACCATTTTCTAAATATAAAATCCCCTCATTACTTTGAAATTACTTAAAAATATAAACTCAGGAGAGGTGGGGAGGTGGGGCTACCAACTTCAAGGAGGATAGTTATTACCAAATGGAAATGCAACCAAAAGTACTATCCAATGGAAAGGGGAAATATTTAGGTCAGAAAGTTCAGTAATCTAAGCAAATCACAATATTGTAAAGTTTCTTAGCATGCACAAAGAAGCCCGTCACTCCTATTGCAAAACATTTTTGAGCATGGTTGCCTTTCCTGGTTTGCTACAAAAGATGATGCAAATAGAGCACAGAGAAAGGCCAATTTCGCATAACCCCTCAGCTCACATTGAATCTGCAACCTCTCCCCATTCATGCTTCCCGTAATTCCCTCGCTACCACACACATGGATGACTTGCAAACATAATGAGACATTTATTAGGCGTCAGGAATCAACACAACAGACCCGGTGGTTTTTCTCGATTCAAGATCAGTATGAGCTTGGGCAGCCTGTGAGAGTGGGTAAGTGCGGGTTATTCGCACCTTTAGAGTCCCTGACGCAATGTTAGTGAAGAGCTGACTGGCTGTTTTGAGCAGCTCATCACGAGTCTGCGTATAGTGCGGGAGCATGGGCCTTGTGAGAAAGAGAGACTTCTTGGCAAGAGTTGGTAGATGGACTGGGTCCGGGAAGCCAGATGACTGGCCATAGTTCACCATGTAACCACGATACTTCAAGCACTCGATTGAACCCTGATGGCAGAGAGAGAGAGAGAGAGAGAGAGAGAGAGTACTATATAGTAGACTACTAACTAACTACGTACGTAACCGTAACGACGAACGTAAGTAAAGTAAAAACGTAAAAACGAAGGTAATAAAC